GTCTGGCCCCAAGGGCAAGGAGCCACTGATCCTGACTTCAAACAGCGTCCTCTGCAGCAACCCTGATGCTGAGAAGTGATTAAGGGTGGCAAGAGAACCAAAAGGCTCCAGCTCTCTCTCCCATGCTCGAAAGCAATGCCACGATGGGGTGGATTAGGGAAACCTGCATCCGGATGGAAATGGCAGCAGTTGCCTTTTCCAGCCTCTCCCCAAAGGAAAGGGGAGCATTTTCCAGGTGTTAATTTAATGTACTGCAGGGTTCAGAGGGAAGGGGGGCTGTTAGCACTTTGCAGATGTGAAAAGAAAGATGTGTCTTTCTGTCCCCACAACCCTGCCCGAGATGTCGTGGGTCATTTGACAGCACAGAGTGAGTTTCTTGGGCTGCTGAATTTTGGTATAAAGGCAAAGTAGTGATCGTCCCCAGTGCCATGTAGGTCTCACAATGAAGGGTAAAGGGGAGCTCCAACTCCCAGCCCGCTGCTATGGCCAAGGATGGGTTTGCAACCAGTAGTGGTAGTGCTGATTTATTCAAGGAGGGGGCAGAACATCCGCTTTTCTTGGAAAGGATTTTCCATTTGACTTGTATACGGGCTCTGCTTAGCCCAAAGGATGTCCTTGAACCCTGGGGCAGTCAAAAGGCTGAGGATACCTCGTGCTTTGCCCCCTGGTTCAGTCTGAAACAAGGTGCAGGGGGCAGCACAGGCACCCCCAGTGGGCTGGGGAAGGGCTGTGCGTCTCTGCTCAAGGCACCAGAAAGTCCAAAGAATCCATTCTTTGATCACTAGATCATGCTGCATCTTGAAAAATGCTTCTGGAAGAGCACTTCTGAAGCAACTCCTTTTTCCTTCTTACTTTAAAAACTTTGGCTTTACTTTTAACCATCCCCAAACTCGCAAATCCTTTTTCTGCACCTAAACAGGTGTATGAAAATATGGTTGGTTAGAGTTGTATGAGATGGGCTAAGAATGTAGGGAAAAGGGTTTCTGTGCCCAAAGGTTTGTCTGCTTTTTCCAGCTTTAGCACTCAGTCTAGTAAGAGAAATAGTTCTTTAGTACAAGCCTTATAACCACATGTCATTCAGAAAAGTTTAGCTAAGAATTAAACTAAACATCCAATTTGGCTGCATGTGTAATGAATAAATAAAGCCTTTTCCTTTCATGTACCCATGCCAAAGTCAACAAGCTCTATTAGCTGATGAAACAATGCTGACGCCAAATAAAAATACCCCTGACCCATCAATATGGGCTAAGAGCTCGGCCCTGCATCAAAGAGGTTTGTCAGAACAAGAAATACTGTCTCGACACCTCTGGGGGGAAAACAAAGGCCCCCATTCCTGCAGCAAGCTGGGCTCCCTGTGCTGCTGGTGCAGGGAGCTCTCACTGGGATGTCAAGGAGCAGCAAAACCATTCCATGGGGACTGTCTGCTATGGACACCTCTCCTTGCTTTTGCTTAGAATGATTTGGAAACCTTCCGAACTGCAAACCTATTTGGAGCTGGGATTAGGGCTTTGGTGTTTGCTTGCTCCCCACTGCACACCCTGTGTGTGAACTCCCCACAAAACCAGAGGATTTTTTATCCTGTGTGCAAAACGCTGACGCTTCAAAGCGCAATCCTCCAAGGTCCCTGCTCGGCAGCAAAGAGGAGCTCAGAGTATCAACACCTGGGAGCACCCTGCCAGCTGGGCCATCCTCCCTCTCCTCCCCAGGAGAGTGGGAAGGTGAAGGAACACTCCATCTCCCCTCTGCCCCATGCAGACTGTGCAGCTTTGCCATTCCCCAGCCGTGCTTATCCTGCAAACCCCTCTCCTTTGAAATCCACATTCAGCTGCTCCGTGCCATGCCCTGCATGTGATCTTTGAAGTCTTGCCCCTCCCTCGACATCCTTGGCTAAAAGATCTGTTCCCTATTAGTCTTCAGTCACGCTTTTAGACTCATTCAGGCTTTTATTTACTTATCCATCTGTCTTCCTGTTCCCACCACTCCCCCTGTCCTGCCAGGAGGGAAAGTACAATTCATTTTTCAGGTGACCCTGCCAGGAAGGCATTGACATGAATAGGAGCAGGTTCAGAAACTGTGGAAAAAGCAAAACCCTTGACTTCAATAAGCAGCAAAACACTTCCCAACCAGAAGAAAGAAGCCAGATGTGACTAGAATTGCTACAAAACAGAAAAGACTGTCCTCCAAATAATTCCTGCCATCCCCTGACGCCTCCTTGTGCAGAACTCTCTGTGAGCACTGCTCAGAGTTGTTGCAGGGCACTGTGTGATCCTGTGGGCTGTGTGATGCCTCCTGGTGCTGCTACAGCCTCGCAGGACACACTCACTGTCTGACAGGGTCCTGACTGTCACCAGGACTCTGCTCCTCTGCCTGCCCACAGCAGTGCCCTGCACAGGGACACGGTCCAGCTCCCTCCTGTCTGGCTGCTTTGAGCATGGAGGGGTGTTTGTGTGTCTTTAGTTTTGATTTCAGCTGTCTGAGCAGTGCAGGTGCCCTGCTGGGCTGTGCTTAATTCTGAGTAACGCGAGTTTAACTGCACGGACAGTACCCTGCTGCTTTGAAAGACACCTAAGAAAGCAATATAGTCACCGTAAGAACTTCTCTGCTGGAAAGCCAGGCTCCTATGAGAACCCACCTGTTACAAAGAAATAATTAAAACCTGAAGAGGAAGGATAACAGGACACTGAAAGGCACCTGAGCGGGCTGGCAGCGAGGAGCTGCTCAGGGCGTGTGTGTGAGCTGCTCACCCTCCCCTCTCAGCCAGGGCCGGGGCTCGGAGGTTGTAACGATCGGTGGGCAGCGACATCGATTTTTGTCCGGCACTTCCTTAGTGCAGGGGGAGCAAAACTCGGCTCACATCCTCTGCGGGCTCCGCTCGCCTCCCCCTGCCTGTCAATAGGTGTCAAGTCACCACCCGGGACCGGCGGTGGAAGGGCCATTTCTTGCTGATTCCACTTTCTGCTGACCATAAGGGGATGCTCAGCAGTAAGTGGCCACATGTCATTCCCTGTGAAAATTTACCTTGATGGCCTCCCAGCCCACACCACTCCAGTGCTAAGGCTGGATCTCTCCTGCAGCCACCTCCTGCTCTGTGCACTAAGTGCTGGGTGGGCTCTTTGCTCACCTCAGAAGGGCTGCTCTTCCTCTGCTTCGTTTTTATAACTCTTTAGTCCTCTGGAGAGGACAGTGCTGGTGTCAGAGAGGGGGGGAAAGGGCCATGAATACAGTGGAATTTCATAAGCCTCTCCCAAAAATCCACAAAATTATATTGCAACATATCATTCCTGTTCTTAGCTTGATTCTTCATCAGGGAATTGCTCGGGGACATTGCTGTGAGCGCCTGTTTCTGTTCTGGAAAACAAAAGCTGGGCCAGGCTGGGGTGAGGCAGGGACAGGAAGGCAAATCCATGTTTTGCATTTGTGTAGCTCTCATTCACGGCTGTACACGGTGTTTGCAAGTGTTCCAGCACATGGCAGGCGTACGCTACACGGAAACGCTGCTGGTGCCCAGAATAGAAAGATTTTAGCTCGGTATTGACTGAATCAAGAGATGTGGAGGGCTGATTGCAGTTTGTGTCTTTTGCTTCCTTGGAGGTCAGTGGAGCTGAAGTCTGGAGCATCCTTAACCAGAAAGGGTTTGCAAAGAGCTGCAGTGACTGTAGTGCAAAGCACTTTGGTGTTCTCCTTTTAATCCTTCTGCTGCCAGTCAGATAAATGGAAATACAGACCCACCCATCAATAGTTAACGGTTTTATTTGCAACCTTGGACTTAATCTTTCTTTTCAAACGATCTTTTAAAAGGTAAAGCTGCTACTTATCTGGAATTAGTGGAAATGTCTTCCCTGGTACTAATGAGACCCCTTAGGCTGGAGGGAACTGGGTAACTACTGGCAGCATGTCCTGATGGTCATAAATGTTTGGGGTCCCTTGGTATCAAAGCAGCATTTTTCTCTTGGATTTTCAAGAGGTGCTCTGAGCTGGTTGGGCCCAGGGTATTTCCTAGGTGGCAAACTGAGGCACAGGGTACACAAGCCTGGATAGCACTGGCAATAGAAAGTGGGACTCTGTACTGATTTAGAGGGAGAACTCCCCTCCTCATTATAGGTAATGAAAGAATAACATACTCTTTTAGAATAACTCTTTTAGAATACCTCCTTGTCCAGTGCTCACCACAATGGAAACCCTGTCAGCATGGGCTGGCTTGGTCCCTGTCCCTTAATTGTGTGCTTGGACCACTCCTGGGGGACATTTGAGAGGGGGCATTACTGTTTTGCTCTTTGCTTTGACCCCTGAATTCTTTAACAATGTAAGGCCTTGTGAATTATAAATCAAATGCTCCTGCTGAGCTTTGTGGTGCACGGAATGAAATGTGATGATTAATATTTAAGAGAAAATAAGTTAAAGATTTTAACTACAAGGGCAAATGTCTGTCCACAGAGTCTTTTCATGGGGAGGTTAGAGGAGAGGGAGAACCACATTTTCAGATATTTCAGTGAAATTTATGGCTGTCAGGCCAACTGCCAGAGCTGTCAGTGTGCAGGGGCCACACTGGCCCTCAACGACCTGCCCTTCACTCTTACTCAGAGATAATGTACCCAGCTCTCCCGTGCTGGAGCAGCCCTTTGGGGTGGGCCTGGTGAGCACACCCCACATGCTTTAGCAAGCAGAAGGGATGTGCTTGGAGCAGCTCGGGTTGAGTGCTCACTGGGGGCAGAGCTTTTCCAAAACCCAGACCTTACCCAGGACTTGTTCAGCCCTCCCCAGCTCCCCCTTGCCCTCCCCTCCACCATCCCTGCTGTAGGACTGACTTCTCCTTGGCACAGCACTGGGATGGGCAGGATGCCTTCCCCCACTTTGCAGACCAGGAGATTGAGAGCTCCAGGCAGCATCCACTGTGGCCACTCTGAACCAAAATGTCCTTACAATGGCACATTGGCAGGATGCTGCCTCTGGCCACCAGCAGAGCCTGTTGTAACCCATCAGATAAGGAGGGAAACACTTACATGGGTGCAGAACCTCTCGGGCGGGTCCCCACAAGTGATTCCTGCCGGATCCACCCGGACCGTCACATAATCCTTCATCCGCATGGCCTTGGGCTGGCAGGCATAAAACTCCCATGAGGGGCCATCGTCCGTGGTCACCCAGGACTTGCAAATGTCATACTGTCCCATGGCCAAGGGGACACAGTGCAAGAGGAGAGCAACCAGGTGGAGCATGGCAGCTGCGGCCACGCGCGGGGTCCCTGGGCGAGGGCAGTGCCGGGAGTCCCGAGGAAGGCGGCTACTGGGCTAGGGGTTGCTCTCAGGATCAGCATGGAAACTCCTCATCTAAAAATGATCCAGTCGAAGGAGACCCAGACGGTAACAGGGATGATCCCACTCTGCCCGCTGTGTCTGGATGTGGAAAGTTCCTCTCGGCACAGAAGCCAACTTTGCAATTCACTTGATTGGGAAAGTTTTGGCCAGAGTTGCTGATCAGTGGTCAAAAGTCTTCCTTAACCTCATTTTTTCCCCCCTTTTATTGTACGAAAGGTCTTCCAAATCAGCATGAAAATATCTAGAGGTGACTCCAGTCAATCAATAGAAAGATCAAGTTCTGAGTTGCTGATGAAATTTGATAGGAGTAAATTGGAGAGGCCGTGAGATGGTGCTGGATCAGGTTTTCCTCAACCTTCTTGTCTGCTGCAAATGCGTCGCTGGGGAAGTGCCTTAAACTGTGTCTGCCTTAATTACTAGGGAGTTTGAACATTAACATATAAAATGAATAGAGCATCTGGTCATCAGTACAACTCTGACAAGAGAGATCCTTTGGAGCTAAAATTCCCTTTTCCCAAAGGATGGTTGCGTCGACATGAACAGGTCAGGTGTCAAGATCCGTGGTGGTCCCAGCAGGATGCTGGGTGGTCACTGGGTTGACAGGAGCAGTGCTGGTCTCTGCTGCTCCTGCCGTGTCCTGTGGTGGTGGTGAGGCACTCGCAGGCGAGGATTTGTCCAGCTCTGCCTTTTGGCAACCGAGCACCAAGTTCCCAAAGCCTTCAGCTGCAATCCATGTGGCTACCTGAGGTCTCCTCTCCCTTTCATGGTCAGGGCAAAGGGACAGCTCATCAGCAGGTGGCACCTGCAAGAAATCGAAAGACAAATTGGGTGGGAGCAAGGGGGGACAGTCAGAGCAACAAGACTTGTAAGAACAGGGGTCCCCAAGGAGGCAGAATCCTCAGCTGGGCTTCCCAAGCCACCAGACAGGTTTTTGTACCAGGGAGATATACAACTTTAATAAAAACCAATCCATAGCAAGATGCTTATGGCTTTTCTGCTGTCTGGGAGAAGGGAAGGAGCACTGCCCCATTTAAGGTATCTGCTTTGTAACAGCAGCTGGTCAACAGGAGCTCTAATGGGTCTTCAAATAATATCAAGAAGGAGCTATAGGTCATTAGAAGATGGAGAATATGCAGACACAGAGCAGGGATAGACAGACAAATTGATAGTCTTAAAAAAGCTAAGCAAATAAATAAGACAGCTGGGGAGACAGATACATTGTCCAGCATCCCCACATATGATTTATCTGAACAATAACATTTAATAAAAAACAATTTAAAGTCCTAATAACATTTAGGTTCACCTAATACAAAGAGCAATGACCTTCCCAGTATTCATTTCAGGTTAGAACAACATTTCTGCAATTTTGTTGTCTTTCCAGTAGAGCTATAAAAACTGTAAGTAATTACAAACCAAAATGACAAAGACCTGAAGGAGAAAAAAAACCATCAAACCCTCTCTCAGCATTAGATTCAGGAGGAAGGTCTCATCTGAGAAGGCGGGAGGCACCTATCCAGAACAGAAATTTAGCTCGGGATAATTCCCTTTCTACTTGTTTCCCCAACTTTTCTTCCACAATTTAAGAATGTCTACTTCAACAGCACGTTTAGCATCTGCTTTCTCGTAAAGCTCAGCTGCTAAAGCTCAGAAACTCCAGGTTAACAGATGCATTGATCCATGTTCGGGGGCTTCACCCCGCCGTGCTACCATCTCCCTTTCTCCCCTTTTTGGTCGAAGGATTGCTGATTGAGATGAATGAGTTCAGAAAAGAGAAGCTGTCTCTCATGCTTCATTGCCAGCTCTCAACGAACAGCCTATTATAGCTGCGTTGGACCTGAATAAACTCCCAGAAAAAGAATAGACTGGCTGCTATTTTTACGTTATGAGTAAATGTAGTAAAAATAATAAGCCGGTGTGACACAGTGTTTATAAGTCCTACTTGCATCAGAGCTGTCTTTTCAGTTATAACAAGTCGGTTCCTAATTATTACATCAAACTGGTCACTGCCAAGTGCCTGATAACAGCAGAAAGTGTGAGACTGGTGTAGAAAACAAGCAGGGTAGTTTTAATGAGGACTCCAGTGCTGTTAAGTTTATGGATCTATTTTCATAGCCTCGACAATTATATTTTGCACTTGAATGGCTGTCAGGGAAAAACTCGGGTAGAAAGGATCTATAATATCTATTAGTGTCTTGTTATGCTGGCTAAATGTCATAGATTCCCAGGGAAATAAAAACTTGCTGGGAAGAAATGTATTTACTCTCAATCCACCAGCCAGGGGAGCGGATCTGGGGAGAAGTCTGAGGTGCAACACTTTGCCAGTCCAGTCCCTCTGCAGAAATAGTTGGAGTGTTGCTCTGAAATGAGCCAACATACTGCAAACGGGGCAGAGAGGCTCCCTGAATTAAAGGTTTCACCCTGCTTGATTTGGTTCGATTCTTAGAAAATAAATCTTCACCTGATATTATTAAGAAACTGCAGTTCATGGGAACAAATAGAATCAATGCTCTTTGTTCTCTTTGAAGAGTACTCAGCACTCGCTGGGGACTGATAGCCGGAGTATTAGAAACACAAAATTAGATTGTGTCTTGACTTAGCTGGCTCCGGTTTTTTTCTTATTATTGGATTAACACCCTATTGAAATAAAGGGACAACGCTGAGCAACAACTGAGCTGCTCTGGAATTAAGAGCAGAAAGTAAACTCAATGAAGGAGTTTTTAATTTTCTCTCAGAAGTGTTGCTTTCCCCACGCACCCTCCGCTCTCCCCCCCGCGCTCACGGAGCGGGAGTTCTTCTCCTCTTTCCCACGCTGATCATCCCTTCCCCGCGCCCCAAACAGCGAAGCTGGGGAGCCCCCGCGGGGTGCCGGGACCCTGAACCCCGCGACAACGCTGCGCGGCTCAAAGCTCCCAGCGGAAAAACCCGTAAATCCCACTCGCATCCCGCCGCTCTCCCTGATGGATTCGCGGTTCCCGGCAAAACCCGATGCCGCTCAAAGCTCCCAGCGGAAAAACCCGTAAATCCC